GTAGCTGCTGATGTTGTACAGCCTCATGGTATGACACTAACAAGCACCAACGTGCCCGAAGGAAACCACTACCACCAAAGAAGTGCAACCAATGCTTTAATTCCTCATCGACTTTTTGGATAAGCATCTTTGTATTTATCTTATATATCTTTTTTTATTTTCTGTATTGTCTTATGTCCTACTTATATCCTCCTACTACTATCTTATTATCTTATTATTTTATACCTTATCTTATATTATCTCGTCTTTTATCTTATGTATCTTTCTTATCTTTTATATCTCTTCTTTTGGTAGAAACAGTGCTGGTACTTCTGATAACTTCAACTATATTAAGTACTATCAGGTTATGTATTTGTGGATTCACCGAACAGTAGCACAGCAAATAGGCCAAATATGATAAAAATTACCTTGATCAGCTTTCAAATCCATAAAAATTTCTGCATCAAGAAGGACCCGTTGCATAATACCAATGCTGAATCAAAAGACGAAATACCAACACTGATTCATCATAGTGATGAAGCGCAATTTTTTTTCACACGATCTGCCCTTCACACCTACTGCGCGGATTCCAGTACTTCTCACATTCGATTCGTTCCCTCCCATTCATCATTTCCGAAGGTCTTCAAGTTTTTAACGTGCGGTTTCGGCTGTTGGTTTAGGCTTTTCCTTTAATCATGAATGTCATTGAACACTGGTCGAGCTGATTCTTGTTGGAATCCCGAGATAGCCGAGCGAGAGCGTTGCCATTTGCGTTGCAGAAAGTGAACATTTTCTAGACAAAATCAATGCCAATTTCCCAAGCTCGGATGGACGGGAAGCTTGGTGAGCCCGGTACGAAGTCGAGCCAACCCGCACCGTGCTCGCGGTGCTCGGCATCACTACAGTTGTGGAAGCCGGGACCCCAATTAATTATGTAACATAAAAAACTTAATAATAATGTAGCTCTGTTAACGGTTTTTTCTTCAAAATATTTTTCTGTGTTGGCTTTCCGTTTCTAGAAATTGAGATTTTGTTTTGTTTCAGCCCTTAACATTTTATAATTGTAATACCACGAAAATGTTATGCATTGCGTATTTTCAATAAACTCAAACTGTTCACTCGTTCTCTGCCGATATTAATTAATTAGCCAAGATATTTGCCAACATATTTTATGCAACTAGGCCTAGAGCGCTACATGAGCGAAGAATTAAACTCAAGGCATACCGTTCTAAAATATGTTACTTAACATTTCCAAAACTAAACAGTAACAAGCACTGTGACTTAGCACCATATTCTGACGCTATTAACTGATGGCAATCGGTTGATGTTCATTAAACCATTTCTGTAGGTGAGATGAAATACCGTACTCATATTCGTTTATGCAACCCTGACAACTATTTCTTTAGGCAACCACATTCAATGGAGAGTACAAATCGAGAAACATTCAAACTTTTCAGGGATTTATTATTTTTTCTCACAGCAGGGCAAAGATGAACTCTTAATACTTTTCAAGTTCGACGTTATATTTCTGAACCATAATTAAAATCGTTGACAGAGCCCTAGAAATCCGTCACAAGTTGCACATACTCGTCGCCGAAACTTTTTTGAAAAAGGAACAATTGTTTTAACAATTCTTTCCACTTCTGTTCAGCAAACACGAGGTGCTATTCCACTTCCCCACTCACGTAAAAGCTGACGTTTCGGCGGATTTCGCCTTCCTCAGAGCCTGGAAAGGTCAAGTTGACAGCAACCTATTCGGCGAAACACCTTCATAACCAAACAGAGAAAACGCTAAACTAAGATTTCAATCACATTGAACACAGCTCTGCACACTCACCGCTTTCTATGAGTCCACTGAGTATCTCATGTAAAGACCAACCGCACAGAATTTACATGGAAGCCTAATGTGCCCTTCTCATCAGAATAACCGATTTATATACTGCCTTATATCACGCGTGATAATGAGGCATTCTTCCCTGGGGTTCATTTTCGGATTTCTGGAATTAATCTAGAACGCCTCGAGAGGTGCTTGTGTTCTTGATTCGCGTGCGAGGATCGTGACACATACTTCGAAGTCGTCCCCGTTATGTCTCTGGGTCCTATGCGTGCCTAGCGGGGTAGGTCCATGCTTTCCGGCTAGACTGTGTTCTTTTATGCGGATACAGAGGTGTCTGCCCGTTTCGCCAATGTATTCGTCTCCGCATGCCTTACAGGAGATCGGATAAACTATACCCGAGCTCATTCCAATCACCGTCTCTACCACTGGGGCAAATTATGCAATTTTGAGTGGCACATAGACGGTCATATAGTCGGTTACGAACCTTCCGACTTTGCTTAACAGAAGTGGAAAGAATTGTTCAATCAATGCCGAGGTTAATAGAAAATCGGACGTGGGAGTTACTACAATTGTTTTACTTCGTCGAAACCACAACCGTCCTGTAAACGCTTATCGCCTAAAAGAAGCACCAGTCTTAACCCTTTTATTTACTGCCTTTTTCTTTTTAATGGCAGGGTATGCTTCGAAATATAACTCGTACATAATGTTATATAATATATTATATTATATTATATTATATTATATTATATTATATTATATTATATACGATTTATATTTCGCAACATACCCTGCCATTAGAAAGAAAAAGGCAGTAAATAAAAGGGTTAAGATTGTGATTATAACTAAGCCTCAGCGTAACTGAGTTCAATGCCGATTTAGGCTCCCCAGATCAACCCCGTTGACGGGTGATTGCTGATGGCAAAAGATCAATAGAACCAGCTGAGAGACAGGCAAAGGGAAGGACCCAAATGGTGTGGTGGTGAAGTGCGCTACTCCCCGGAAAGAACAACAGCGCGCGTTCGTTCCACACAGCATACACCTGCGGTCCGGAGTTTTGCAAATATCTCAGCATTATATAGAAGCACCAGTCTTACACGAAAACTTTCGTTGTTTTTTCGATGCTGCATTTCAAAATCACAGCTCTTTAACTTCTCATTTGTTCCACCGGAAGTTACTCGAAAGGCGACACTATGTCACCAATGCTTGTTCGATGTCGAAACGTAGTCAGCAGTACAGTTGTTAACCATACTTCGTCTGGCTGTCATGCTTCCCCGTTGTTTCCCTTGTTTCTGCATGAGATCGGTACAAGTTTGAGGGCCTATCGTCAAACCGATGTTTCCGACCAGTGGTGAGTAGGTTTTGATGTCGCAAGGAAGCGTGTTGAGTCGTATTCTCATTTCGCTGTCGTTCCCTTTAATTAGGCGGGCGAATGCTAATTTGTTTTCTCTTAACAGTTTGTTTTATGTCAATCTTGGCACTGAATTTCATTCCTCCACATTTGAAATTTTGATCCGATTCTTATAGCCGAGATATGCGTTGCGACTCCTCTTCATACAGGAGCATTGGTTGCAAAGGTTTTGGACAAGACAAAAGTACTACTGTATTAGAGACGCTGTGAAACGGAAATCAGAAGCGTAGCTGAAATACGAGACTCTGCACTGTCGCTTTTGTTCCGCTTGAAAATCAGCTTTTCGCTGAATACGATGTGAATTATAGGAATGTATTATTTACATAATGGAATATATTGATGATCATACTGGTCACATTAGTGCAAACTAGCACAGAAAACTTGGAAGTTCAGCACCTTCCATTAATTAAAACTCCAAGAAAAATTGGAGGCTTTTTCCAAATTTGACTAGCTATTCCCAACATGAGGAGTCTTCACGCAAGTCTTTCCAATCATTTGTCTGTGATCCTAATTAGAACAATGACAACGATTGCCAGCTTATTCCATATTGTGTGCACATAAAAAGGAATCACAGTAGGATTTTCCAGAGTTCTCAAGAGGAACTTCATAAAGAAGCCAAACGTCCTAGTTAGTAGAAGAAATTAGGGTGAATGATTCATTATATCTATCACTTCAGAGTATATTAAACTAGAAATTGGAACACAAGCGTTGATCCTTTCAACCAAAGGCATTATATTTTAATAAAAAAGTAAAGATGGTGTTATAACACAATGTTTATCGCATGGCTATATCTTCCTTCGGAATGTGGTATTTTTTTCAGTGACCCCTCCCCACGCAGAACTCACAGATAAATGCAAAATACCACCATTTTTACCAAAGTACCACCACCCTTGGTGGTGGAGTTCAACTGGAAACAAATTCAGTAACTATTTAAGTACTTATGTACAACTTTTTATCTACTGTCCATTGTTTCTTTATGGAACGGTGCTACTTTAGATGCAATCATAATTAGGCTGAGACATTTGCAAAACGCGGAACTTCAGGTCAAATTCAATCCCCTGACTACCCATTCTGGAGGTTCACGTTTTGCCCCACTGTGCCACCGATGGTTTGCTTTTCTCTCTTCCAATTTTTCGTCCTAACGGTACCATCAGCAATCACTTGTCAAAGAGTCTGGTGTCCGCGTTTTGAAAATATTTTAGCATCACTGTAGTTGTTTAAATACTAATCTCTATCAGTGATGAATTCTTGGAAATGTTCTTGTAAAGCGATATAGCCACTGTTTACTGACATGTTGACTTGAAATATTCTAACGTTCTTTCCAAGATTACGGCTTGGAAAGTATTCCGGAAAAGTGTGTCAAACCAAGATCAGAGGATGCTAGGAGTGTTTTATTATTCGAATATAGGTATTTACTGCTGTACAACCAGAGAATAGAGGAACGACATATATAATAACCGAGATTCCTGAATTCAGGTAGTGTTGACTGTAAAAATCCGGACATAAATGAAGTAGTAGATTAAGTACAAAGCTAAAGAATGATTAGGAAGGCACCGATTAAAGATGAATGACAAAATGCGCATATGACTCAACATGAAAGCTACACAATGGCAAACACAGTAATAGTAGTATGATACAAAGGTTGGTCCTGATAAACATGAGATCAATAGAGAACGATAAGATATCAAAGAAGCTTTCATGTAAAGCATAATTGTAGAAACGAACGAAGAGAACATGCTCCAAGGGTGAATATTCAACTAAAGATTAGCATTCATTCTACAGCATCACCTCTTCGGCCACATGGATCAGAGGTGAGAAATGTCGTATAGGATGACTTAAATGTTTGCATTTGTACTTTTGGTTGAACGTCAGTTGATGATACTTGACTGTTCCGTGAAATATCACCGTATCGGGCTCCTTGATCGCTGCCATCAGTCCTGGAAACAGTTTTGTCAGCACTGTTACCAAACTTGTAGGAAATAGTCGGCATTTCTACACAAACTATTGCAGATCGCGAACATATGACAAGACTTACGGTTGATTTAATGGGGAATCACAGGTACGTTGAGTGCTGACTAATCCACTACTTGTTGTGTCGGTGAGTGAAGATGCCGTTCCAGCAGAAGAAGAAAAAAGTGAATTTGGACATCTGTACCCCACCATGCTTTGCGAAATGTTCACCTATGAAGAAACTTGTTCAGAAAGGATTGTATCTCTTAATAATATAAACGAACTCCACGTTCACTTCAGGAGTTCACGCAATGTATAATCAAATTGTTTTTAGGTTTGATTTTGAAATCCTAAATGTGTTATGCTGAGATAAGCTCACACCTGAGGAGATGTGAAAATGGCACCATTCCTATGTGAGAATAGCATTTCATGAGAGGTATCGCTATCGGGGGTGTGGCATCCACGCGTCTTTGTTTCACACATTTCTACACCTAAAACAAGAGACAAACCGCACAGTAATCTACTACTAGTACTCAACTCCAACCAATGTTTACCAGTGATCACACAAGTTGGATCATATGTGGGATCCTCGCAATCATTGTTCAGTGCGTTATCCTCCGTGCCGTACAAATTTGGGAGAACACCAGAGAAATGAAATTTTTTCCTAGTAGTTGAAAAGTTCTCGTCTTGCTTCTGAACAGAAAAACATTTGCGAAAAAATTTCGTTCAGTTTAAGTGGTATTAAATTGTAGGGTCTCATCTCAAAAGATGAATTACGTGATGCTGCTAGCATTTCCCTTTAGAATCAGAGACATAACAAACCATGATAATACCTCCATGGAAAAGTACCCAATCCAAACTCACGGACATTATTTCATTTGCACTTCGATAATTAACTTACAGCTTTAAGAGGAGAGCGTTCATCCATTAAATCAATGCCGTATAGATCCACAGTGTCATCAACTATCCGAGATTTATGCACCTTCTGTTCGTTAAATATTCGATATGAGGTGTCCAGAAATTTGCCATTAGCAGCTAAATAATTATACTATCCTTTTAGACAGTTGAACCTTATGAACTTTATGCATGAAATGAACCTACATCTAAACAAATAGTTTTCCTTGTTTTGTCCACGAATGCTGCAGCAAACGACACAGCAAATAAGAAGAACGAAAAGTGTGAGAAGAAAACCAGTGAGAATTAAAGCCAAACTCTGGACGGAAAATCCACTTCCAACGAATTTGCTTAAGAACGAAAAGAATCCCATTCCACTGTGGAATCCTAAAATAAACATGCTGTGAAGTCTTAAACGTCAAATGAATTCTGAAAATAAACTTTAAGTAAATAAGTGACCTCAAAAGAAAGACATCGAATTGCGGCATATTATTTTTTGTAGTACAGCAGTGATAAGTTTTTCGTTACAAGTTAGTGTCAGTCAATACCATCACTGTATTTCTAGCTTTCAGTTAAAAAAACTAGGAGCATTACAGGAACTCACTTGTCATATTGACAGTGACCCTTGGACTGGATGGACCTTTCCCAGCGTGATTTTCTGCAGTAACAGAGAATTCGTAAGTTTCGTTTGCTTGCAGTCCATCAATAATAATTTCGGTGTCATTTCCCCCAACATGACGCTGAAAATTATTCTTAATAAGCGGCATTTGTTGACAAATAGTGACTTTAAGCTAATGGCTTTTCCAATCTCCAAAGAACTTTGTTTAAAACTGTGAGAAAGAGTCTCTATCGAAAAAATCAACATACTATGCGTTTTAGATCAAATAGGCACCTCGGAAATGTAGGTGGATTCAAATGGTATCAAAGTTATTAGTCTTAACAGAATTGCGACGATTCGCAGATTAGAATGCGTGAGTAGGGAGAAGACACAACAGAAAGTGCGCACTTATTTCGATGTATTTCTTCCAGTTGTTTATTTTGTAAAATTGAGTTTTCTCTTGCTATTTTGTATTCAATCGATTAATACCACAAATTATGTGCTAGGCTTGATCCAAAAAGGGTATACGTAAAACTTGCAATCCGTAAAAAAACGTCCTTCCTACGCGTTTGATGCTTTGGTCACGGAGAATGTGAGGAAACTACTAAGATATCGCCTCGGCCGTGCCACCGATAGGCGACGACGGTAAGCTGTCAAAGCATGGTAAGCATTGATTTCCATTCGCAATGCGCTCTATAAAAAAACAGGTGTCGTCCAACGCGCTGTCCAACCAAAATCAGGCATCGTCGTCAACACGTTAATGAAATTATTGGCTGGACTTAATGTAAGACATAGACAATTGAAAGTAATCGATGATACATTAAGGTATGGCGAACATTATGACAGCATCCAAAAATTTTGAGGGAGGAACATTGCTGTATGACATACTCGCTCGTAACTGCACTATGGAAATAAAAACTTGTAAACACAAATGATAACGAAATCGGCTCACCACTTGCGGGTTTCTTGAGTTAATAACAGCATATGTTACAAGGAAATTCCGTGGTTTTGCGTTGGCACTAACCGCTTTGGCCACCCAGGTCAGTTTGACGGAAGTCGAATTCAATAATGTGGAACTTGTGATCTTAAGCAAACTGCTTTGAGGTCAATACAAAATACTCATCAGACTGTTTCTCAACAGCGATAGAAGAGCAAGATTTTGAAGAGATTGGAAATCCTCATTTCAATTCATATTTTTCTTTTGAGGCTTCCCTGAGGTGCTCTTCACATTTATTTCTATGTCATACCTGCTCTTAAACACAATGAACGTTAAGCTCGATTTTGTTATGTCGATCGTTCATTTTTTCTGTTACATACTATAATAGGTTGTAGGCATATTTCCTACGCTCTAAAAGACTAGATGTAGATGAAATATGGAAAGTACACAACCCGATTGCTGCTACAACGCATACCTCAGTTTCCACAGGAAGTGTGTCACCTACGGGCAAATTCACTGTCATCCAACTAGTAGAGTTACTCAGAAATGACGAACCATCATCTTTCACTAATTTGACGCGGAATTGATACCTTAATATTTCTTAGAGCTTGTGTATTAAAGAAAGAGATGTGATAGAACTTCTAGAAGAACAACGTATATATTTCATCTCTAGCTCTAAATAAAATTCTTTAACCTATTACACTTGAAGTCATTAGTTCAGATGGTGACAATGTTTCGTAATAAAAGATAATTATGATATATGCTAAACTTGAAACTTCGTAAAGATTATTACTCTTCTTATGCAGGAACATCCCGGCGAATTACCGCCTTATCGCGACTGTGAGGTGTTCCTGAGTGTCGGGATGTGATGTACAGAAGGGTATTCATCCCCCAGCAAGTCTCCCAAGCTGAGGAGTCCGGCATTTCCATCAGGAAGCCCAGCTAAGAGTAAAAGAATACCATGATCTATCACTATCCTGGTATTAAACTAGTTGCTTGCCGGCAAATTTCTCTCTGATCCACAAGGGCAACGAGTGCCTGTGGTGGTGACGACCTGGGGCAGACCTTAGCCAGGTTGACCTCGGAACTCCAGGGAAACACCAGACTAGACCAGCAAAACTCCGAAAAGTGGAGAGTACGCCGGGGTCTGCACAGCCAATGAGGACTGGTCGTCCAAGTAAGTACGCAGGAAAGAGGACAGATGCGAATACAAATATACCCAAAATTTGTGAAAACAATCAAAGTGGGAGACAACATAATTAGAAGATAGAAAGAATTCTTTGATCTTTTTTCACTCACCGATTGTTTGGAACAAGGTCTTTGATTGTGGTGGCGCGTACATGACTATCCACGCTATCTGCTTCGATCCACGAATCGTTGAGAGCACCTTCGGTTTGAAGCTCAATCCTGAACGTCGGCATAGCTCAACTTCGCAATTATTTCCTACGTTTTGTCAATTTTTCCGATAATCTTACTCACTTGAAGCCTGCGATTGACGTTAATGCTTCCATTTTTCCAATAACTGACCACTGAATTCGGACATGCGGGCCCGTCACAAAGCCTCGAACATCCTCCACGGTAACAAAATCGTTTTTCTAATAAAATACTTTTATTCAAGAAGAACTGAGCAGTCACGCATCATTAATTTCGACCCATCTCTTTGTTTTTAAAAATATAATGTCCAAAAGATGGTCTTACTTTCTAGAGCTTACCTTTTTATTAACGTGAAATTCCGTCGAAGCGGAAAATGGTGTTGTTGCGCGCTCAGTAATACTGAGATACGCTTGCTGTTCACTTTTTTCCGATCCTTCGCCAACCACCACACACGTGTACCATCCTTCATCTCTCTTCTCCACTTTATGGATTTTTAGACTGTTTGAACCGACTCGCTGTGTCCTAGCAGCACCAAATGGCACATATGACCCGTCTAAGTAAAATTGAATAGATTAACTGCTTAGAAGACTCAGTCACACAAAGTTCTCAAAGACGTCTTACTGAACGCACCTTTTAACCAGTATTTTGAGTTAACACGTTGGATAACGAGACAAATTAGTTCAACGTCATCACCAATAGAGGCAGTGACGTTCACTGGGCCCTGTTTAATTAAATGATCGCTACTGGGACTGCTAACCACATAGAGATTATGCGAACGACCTCGCTCTAAACCAGAACCATAGACCTCTGCCTCATCCATAGCCGGCCGTGAGATACACTGCAAGCAACACATCATATACAGTTCGGATTTAGAGAAATTTGATAGTTTTGCTCAACACAAACATTGTTTCAAAAACGTTTGTACATTATATGCCAGTCTATGAACGCAATACTATTTAATATTCTTTAACATACCTCCGTTGACAAATATTAAATGGACAAATTTCCAAAAATAGCTTAACCTTTCGACCTTGAACCAATATAACTCGTCGACATAAACTTGATTAACTTAAGCAAGAACCGTTCAAATAATACATTTTTGCTGAACAGATATAAATTTACTTATTCGATTACGACAAAACTCTAATAATCTGGTGTCTACAAATCGTTTTTAGTTCGCCTTTTTTTTATCGTAGTTCATGTCCCGAATGAGCTGCCAAATTTGGATTAGAACTCTTTAAAAAAAACTACCGTCCTTCCTTAATTTTGGTAATTACAGCCTTAAACGAGTTTCAAGTCAAAGTAATTTTTCAGAAGAAAGAACTCATATGCTTTGCAACAATAGGTCGAAGTCTCTTTTATAAGCTTCGTTTGACATCAATACACTAAACAGTCCAGTTGTCAAAAAATTATCGACAGTTAACTAAAATTCAGTACAATCAAGAATATTGGCTTGCGATAGATTAAACACTGAATCCAACCTCTCCCTCAAACTCGCTGTTTTAAACAGACATTATTTCTTTGCCGCTCTACCTCATTTATAACCAATTTCTATTGATTGTGGTCTAACAATCGGAAATTTGAGCAATTGCTGATCTAACGAGGCATCAAAAATCATCAATACATCTTTGTGCAGTAATATAACACCTTACTAATTCCCCATTTTCATTACAATTTATTGAAATAGTTGCATGAAGAGCATCACCATTATTAAGAGAAATTACATCAATATTGGCAAAAGCATTTGAACATGGAAGTAATTTCAATTTTATCACAACGCCCTCTACAATACCAAAGCTTATAAACAGATTTCGAATACCTGAACACTTCCGCTGTAGTTGCTTCTAATTCTGATGGTAGCGTTGACGGGATTGCTGTAAAAGTTGGTAGATGAAGCCACACCCATCTGACCAATGGCGTCAATCAACGTCGTGCCGTTAACATAAACCATAGGAATTTCATAACGGAGATTCTTCACAAAGCACGATAACTGGAATTTATCTTTGATTCAAACGGCTAACGAATTTGAAATGACTAGCTCTGTCAAAAATCTGTTCTCACTTCTCTTTGAACAAATTAACACAAATTCTTTGTCATTGTCATCAACACATTAGCGATTATGCTTGTTTCTTGATTGCAATAAAATATTGACAAGGGCGCAAGAGGAGCACTGGCTACCGACACCGTTCGATACACAAATAGCTGCTGCTTTGACATCACTCCAGGATAACCAAACCCTCTTGCCACCGGATTTGGCAAACTAAAACCAGAATTGTCCCGGAAAAGCTTATTCCGATGACAAAGGGGGTACTACTGCCTAGATCTAGGTACGATGTAGTGGAGCTATCCTTAGATTCCATAAAGAATCAATAACTGGACCTGCATTCATCGACATCTGTGAAGAAAAGAGAGCCCTCAATTAAAAGCCGAACCTAAATGAAAATCTAGCCATCTTCGTTGATGAAGTTACGCGGCAAGCGTCAACAACAACGACGCAGTTGAGTATACAATCCTGTTCTTCTGGACAAAATCTTGTCTGTTCAATCACTTCAGTGCTTCGAGCTCAGATTCGAGCGACAAAAATTGAGAAAAGGTGACCTGTGTGTTCGGAAATTTGTATTTGATCGTGGGAGAATTTAAAAAAAAGCCGAAACCTTGTCGATAAAAATATTTATATTCCAGTGATTTTCATTTCAGTTGATTGAGCTCACTATGAGTTCAAATATGTTGTTTAAAGTTGAAACGCAACGCCATATTCGGCGATGTCTGCAGTGAAATAAATACAATTGTCCAGAATATGCTAAGGCACTCTCCCGAAAGAACGGTGGCGACCAATTTTTGTCAAATAACGTGTTTAAACAGATTTATGCTACCTCCTTACCGAAATCTGTTAAAAATGCTATTCATTCAGCCCTAGAAATATTGGATAACTAAATTTGAGTAAGCAGAATCTACGCTTTCCGTTGTAATCAAAAAGTCGAAACTACGATGTACAGCAGGGATTCATCCCCTAACAGGGTCTCCCAAGAAGAGAAGGAGTCCGGCGTTTCCAAAAGGAAGCCTATCTAAGAGTAAACCAATACCACGATCCACCGCCGTCCTGATATCAAAGTCGCATGGTGGCAAATCTCCCTCTGATCCACGAGGACTGCGACTGCCTATGGTGGTGAGGACCTAGGGCAGACTTTGGCCAGGCTGACCACGGGATTCCAGCAAATCACAATGACTTAACCAGCAAATCTTCGAAAAATCGAGGTTATGCTGGGGCCTGCACATCCAGTGAGGACGGCTCATTCATATATCAAGTATCAAGTAAGTAATCAAAAGTCGCCAGTCACAGAACAAAGTATCATGGGTCGGTCTTTACATAGTTGTTTTTACATTTCAAAATCAACAAAGCTGACTACTGCGTTGAAGTTTCTACAAGATCCAATGTTGATTCAAAAATTCAAATATCGAAGTCGTACCTGCCAACTCTTATCGCGCACATTTTGATTCATTTCAAGATGAACATCAGTAGGAGCATGAACAACCAATGTGTAGTACACCTTTGGGTGGTCGTCTTCTTGCAATGAAGGAGAGTCATCGAAAGGAGACAGCCCATGGCATGAGTAGATTCCAGAGTCTTCTGAACTCAGAATGACGGTGGGAAGGGCAATGAAATTCAGTATTAACGAAGGAACCAAAGCAACCAACCTTGAGTGACTTGACGGATCCTCAGATTTCCCCATATTTGTCTAAGCCTCGCTTCGTCGTCAGTCAACGATATCTGTGGCGTTATGCCTCCGACCTAAAAGTAAATCACTAGTTCTTTAAATGTCAACTAGTCTTCCCCTTTTGATTCTAAAAACCACACCTTTATCCAAATAACTTTTGCATCTACAAACACGCACTCAAGTATGACATCCTGACCAACGACGACGTCTACAACGATGGGATTATCAGGGCGATTCTCTTTACTAGGAAACAACAATTGAGGAGGATCAGGCGAACCAAAAAAAGTTCCGTTTCCTGCCTTATCGACCTGAACAACCTCTTGGTAAACAAAAGAAAAACTCAACTTAAGCTATAACGCTTGCGAACAACATCTCACCCTTAACTTGACATAACGCGGGCTTTTTCGTGTTTGTTTTGTGTATTCATTCCGGACCACGCAGTAATATTCACCAGCATGGTGAGGTTGAACAACCGAAATCTGCATTCCGGTTGATGTTGGAAGGTAAATAGAGTCAACTGAAAGAAAGAAAATAATAATAACAATTTGGTTCAGTGCTTGGCTAAAAATTCCTCTACCTTTGTCGCTCAGACATCCATCCGACTCCATTTCGCTTTTTATGAAACAGATCTCAGCAGGTCCTGGGACGACATCAGGTAACCCAGCACATGGAAGTCGCGCTACTTGGCCCTGCTTCACGTGTACGTACTAAAACAAGTTAGAAATCAGAGGTTTTCCTATAACTGGACTTTGCCCATTTGAATAAACTTTGTGCTAAAGTGTGTGAGAGAAAACAGCAACGACAACAATAACGCTGTTACAGAAACAGTAGATTAAAAACATTGAATAAAATAGGATGAACATACGAAATGAAAAAGAAACAAGGTGTCTGCACAATTACTAAAAACTTTAGTGCTCATTTCAATGCTTACACGTGTAGGTTTCATAGTAATATAACACCTGCTCAAATACGAACAGTAATATGTCTGATTCATAGGACAAAAAAGAAAAAAAATTTTATGCGAGGGTGGATGATTTTTTTAAAAATTAGCACAGTTCAGCGGTTTCAGTAAAAATAAATACTACATTCTCTAAGAAGTGATATGGCCACAAGCCTCGATACTAACAATAAAGTCTATTTCTTCGCAAAAGCTAATCAACGTGGAGCGCTTCCTGTAAAAACCATGGTGAGTTTATTCCAATGCAATTTTGCATTCTTTCGCATCCATTCGATCTTTTGGCACTGTTTTATTACATACTAATAAGAATGAATATCGATGTTAACTCAAAAAGGAAAACTGAGGAGGTCGTTCACAACATTTCGTGGAATTCCATCACGTAGTTCTAGACTACTGGCTCAGACATTGAGATAATGCGACCTTCGAAAAAATTATTTAGTGCCCTTATTTTGATTTGGAAAAAAAAAACGGATAAAAACGCAGAAAATATGAAATTGGATATTTTTCGAATTATGATAATTGTTTTCTTACATGGTTGGTGGTTTGATCGAACTTTGTTATGCGTGCCCGTCTAAGCTTTAGAGGGTCGGAAACCAGAGTGGTCTTCACGACTTGTCGATTGGAAAGTCGAACTCCAGACACTTGCGCAACACACTGGTAATCTCCTTCTAGTTTCTGTTTGCCACCGATGATGGTCAGTCTAAAAGAAACAGATCATTAAGCAAAAAAAAAGGAATTTCATATTAATGACGTCATTGGCTATGGCAAATAATTAACTCACAAGGATCCATTTATGGAAAAGTCTTCCTTATCAAAGTTCATCGCTATTTCAGTAAGGGATTCGCCATCTTTTAGCCAGCGAACGCTGTCGAACTTGGCCTAAAATTTAACAACTAGATGCTATCTAGAGTAGGCAATGAAAGTATGTAACAGAATTGTTTCCTCCCAACGGTTTACCGCCTCATTGTGGCTGGGAGGTGTTCCTGGGTGTCGGACTGCGATGTACAGCGGGGGATTCATCCCGTGGCAGGGTCACCCAAGCTAAGAAGGGGTCCGGCGTTTCCATCAGGAAGCCTAGCTAGGAGTAAACCAATACCAAAATCGACCACCGCCGTGGTATCAAAGTCACATGGTGGCAAGTCTCCCTCTGATTCACAACGGCTGTGATTCCCTGTCGTTATGGGAACCTGGGATAGACTTTGGCCAGGTTGTCCTCGGGATTCCAGGGAACCACAATGGCTTAACCAGCAAATCTCCGAAAAATGGTTATTATGCTTGGGCCCGCACAACTAGTGACGACGGGCCGTTCGAGTATCAAGTATCAAGTAACAGAATTGTTTAAAACATAAGCAATAAATGTAATTGAATTGGAATTTCTCAGCTTATGTGTTCGACCTTAAATCTTACGAATAGCTGGAGAACCTAAATTAGACAAGCTAAGCAGTCAACAAAAAAGGAAACTTGCGATGTTTTTTTTTCTAATTTCTATCGCTTACTTAAGCATCACTCTAGGATTCGCCTCGACAGCGATCTAGAAGAAATTAAGAAATTGATAGCACTTCATATTACGCCTTTCATTTACCTATCTCCTTTTTAGAAAAAGCAGATGAGTATAAAAGAATTTACAATGTTTGTAGTTAGAACTCCATGCCCTTTTTACTTTGCACTTGGAAATTCTACTACTTTGGAAGAAGCACGCTATTTATCACAGAAAATCGAACGATGTAACATTAATCAAACAGGGATAAAGTGGGTTTTATGACCAAAAACTTAAAAACATGTGGACCGAGAAGTACAAGTATGACATACACTAGGAAAAATCAAATGACATTGAAACAGCTCCTGTTGTAAAATAAAAGGATGAAGCACTCGACGTTGAACAATCCCTGAGGGATGTGCCATGCATTCGACTTCATTAAGTATCGTTGGAGGTGAATGAATGCATATCTGGCCTTTACAATGGCTCGGCGTGGCCTATCGATGTATGGCGCCATGATGATATCTTCCCAGACAAGTCTGGTACCAAACTGCAGAGCCCGGAAGGATGGATGGCTTCGTAAGCCACGGACGTGTGTGTCTCAGTGCGCCTCCACCCACTGCACCATACGCGCCCAGTTCTTGTTTTAGGGGAAGAAATATCATGAATTATTATAATTTTTGATAAAAGTACTAACGTTGAATATTTTCGACTCATTACGAACACAACAAATACATTACCTCACTCCATCCCGGGCTGAGTTGGCAAGATAGATTCGTGGGAAGTTTTCGCAATAAATAGATTTGGTCAGTGTGTATGAATAGAGAAGGTAAGTCGAACGTTTCTAAAATTTCGCTTATTATCATCGAAGAGAACCGAATTTAAATTGAAAAAGAAATATTATTTGGTAACTTTGCATGAAATAAATTGAACTCACGCGATCGAAACTCAGTGCTGGTAAAAGGAATTAGGAATAAAAAAACTGCCACTACGAAGAGCTTCCTCATAACTAAGAACTATCGCTGTCACCGCTTTAACATTATAGCTACCTAAAAGCTTTACAAAAAGGTTAAGAAATGTTGCATAACACATGAAATCAAAAGCGAAACTTTCGATGATAGACACGAGCTGTCTGTCTATAATTTTCTTGCTTTGAAAAGGAAAAGCAGTATGGTATACGAGGAACATCCAAGGAATAGTGATTCAGTGTGCAGTGAAACAATGAATTTTAAAAGTGACCAAGCTCTATTGGTACTGGTTATTAACCAAAGCTGATAAAGCGTATTGAAAAGTTCCTTGTCTCTTAAATTGCACTCCGACACATAAATTCTCTATTTCTTAGAGGAATACATGCATCTAGATTTGGCTTATGCTCGATCTTACATTGTTCTTGAACGAACGGCCGGGTTTTTATTCCATCGGTTTCATGTCTATATTCGGTTTATTACACAGTTTTGCAATAATCGGTCAGTCGACTAATAGCGGGAATCTGCCACGAAAATTCCATCCCACCTACAAGGCTGACTTCATATGGAGAACACCGGCTCTATCAAGTGCACTCAGGACTCAAGAAAACAGCAATGAGTTAGAAATAGACGATCATCGGTACCTTCGAAATTGGGCGCTATTGCCTATGAGGTCAATCATTGGGACAACCCGTGAGAGGTGATCTGGTTTCGGGTTGTACGGGACGTCAGTGGAACCGGATCAGAGCAACATGTTCACGGTACACCATAAAGAACGGTTTTTATACTACACATACAAAGCCAGAACAGGCTTCTCGAACATTAAGTTTTTTTGGCTTCTAATTATCGAAGATTACGTTAGATTCCACATGGTCGCTATAAAAAGTGCGAAGACCGATACAAAGTAACTTATATGATGCACACATATGTAGGTATAAACTGTAGATTGTAAAAATAAATGTAGAATAACGAGGTAGAAAGGCTTGATAACTGCTTTAAAAACATAGACGAGTGATGGGGATCTGTATAAGATAGAATGCAGGTTGACCATTTTGCTCCGAAACACCAGTATAACAATTACTGGTGTTCATTTGTGTGGTAAACGTTGATCAACCTCACCTGGGAAAACCTATGTAGCCGCTCGAATAACTGTTTACCATTTTCTTTACCCTTTCCAATTAATATGTGATGCTTAACTGTGAAATGCAACAAATACGTTCAAAATTGGATCGTGGTATGAAAAATAATCAGCCATTATAGGAACAGCAATAATAAGCAAATGATAATTATGACATATACTAATAACAATAGTAACAGTAATAATAGAATAGTGACAAATAATAATAATAATAATAATAATAATAATAATAGTAATAATAATAATGACAACAATACTGTTAACAATAATGGACATGTTACTTAGCATGTCAACACGGCAGTTTCTTTTTCAAAAAAACGATCCCAGATGTATTTCTTCGGTATGGTGTACGATTTCATTTGTGAAACAAGAAATCCTTATTAGAGCCCTCTTGAGATGCAAATTTGCCATTGAGACGTTTCGAATTCCATCTTCGGTAAAGCATCAAGCAGAAGGTCGTCTCTACACTCCTCTATACAGAACGGTCAAAAATAACAGTATGGACGGTATCTCGAAAACGCGGAATCGAATACTTCTCATAAATGTCGAGTTAAATACTTTAATCAGAAATTTTCAAATAGTATCCAAATTATTATCGGCTGAATATGCTATGAAATCAATGATATTCTTTCAAATAGAACAATACAATAGTAGAGGCAAGCTGCGATCCTGGAAAGTGAAGCAACAATATAGAAAGTGTATTGAACCTCTGACATTTACTTGAGTAAAAAGTTGACCAACCAGCACTTTTTTGGTCCTTGCAGTTAACTATTATAGTGTATACTCCAGTCGTCAAATGTTATTTTAACAGCCGAGACAGAGGAAAAAAAATCAGAAGTCGAAAATTCGATGCGAAAGTCACAACGGTGATCAATAAGTTATTTGCTATTTTCTTAAATTTTCTTTGCTTGTTTAGAATACTTTATAGCTTTTTTGAGTATTCAACCAAAGAAGTTAATTTGGTGACTAGTACAGGATTCCGGCAATGAATCGTGTCCATTAGAGATTTAACATTGTTATTAAAATATGTAATACAACCACAAGGGTGCCGAGATATGAGCAAAACTCGACACCTCAGCTCAGCTTCGAACCCGCGTTGACTCCTTATCGAGCGATCAAGTACTATCCACCACACCATCCGAAGCCCTTGCTTTGCCGTTCTCTCAGCCATATTTTTACTCCAATGGTGGTATCAGAAATCACACTGTACTTTCTACGCTAGCTTCAGCTTAACCGGATTCATTACCAATTTATGTCCTTCAGATCATTCCTGTTAACGGATGATTGGTGATACCACTGACTGAGTGAAAAACTGGCAGAGATAAAGGCAAGAGCCTCAGTTGCTGTAGTGGACAGCGAGCGAAGCCCCGATAAAGGCATTCAAGAGATAGAAGTCCAACTGAGAGTTTTGCTCATATCTCAGCAATTTCTGCTTCTATTATGAATCGTACCCTATAATGGAAAAGAGTAGGCTTCAAAAAGATAAGACACTGTTCTCAAGGTTGCGGGTTAGAGATTAGACATCCCCTTTCCTGTGTTCTTCAAAGCCTAAAAGACGTTTTTGGGTGTCGAAATGCGATATACAGTAGAATGTCCATCCTTAAATAGGTTTACAAGAGGAATGCCTCGTAATCACACGTGATCACCTGCATAAGCTTTAGTCGCGCTGATCGTCGAGTGAGGCGAGCGGCCGCCAGCAAAATTCCACTTTTCCCTGTTGCGTGCAAGAGTAGCCCAGTGGGTTCTGCTCGCTCTAGGGATACATTGAGCATTATTCCTTTCTACTAGGCTTTCCGTGAAAAACTCTGACCTCGTCTGCTTACAGCACAGCACGTTTGACATCTCGAGAAATTCAGTCACTAACGGTTCTTGCCCACTGGTTGCCAATCATACGCATTACGTGTCCAGCCTACTTTATTCTCTAGTACTTGGCGTAAAGAACGTCATCTTTAATTTTTTATCGTTGAAGCAGGTCGGAGATTCGGATCCCTACCCTTAGTTGTGTGACACAGGATACTCCTAGCACCGCCCCTCGACTGCACGTCCAATAACGCAGAGTGAACTTTCATCCCGTTCATGCAGCCACCACGCTTCTGAAGCATACGTTAAGGTAGCAAATTGCAGAGGGTAAGGATGTGGCTACTGAAGAGGTCTGAGTGGTATTCGTAAACGATTTTCTCCATCGCCTTTCTGGAAGGTTTAATTATTCCGTAAAGGCGTCGGAGCGCAATCATCTTGGTCTCGTAATTGGTGAAGTTTCTGTGGGCTTTGAGAATTTTCTCCCACTCTCTGCAGCTTCGACCACAACTGTTGCTCTTCTCTAAGCTCTTCTTTTATCGCCTGTCTGCATTGTTTTGCAAGTTCGGACGTGAGTTGGTGGCACGCGCGATTCCACGCTGGTGCATTAGCTCGAGTGTTTCTGGAGAGAGACGTCTCTTGGTGAATTTCGAACTCTCAGCTTTCATAGTGCTAATGTGAGGATGTTGAATGAGTCGCTCGTATTCCTCGTCGATGTTATCGAGAACGGCATCTTCCCAACAGCCGACTAGTTAGTTGAATAAATTTCAGTTAATGGTGGTTTTTTAGACTTCGTTGTTTGAACCAAGCGGCTTTCTCTTCTTTTCGAGAGAGATGAAATCTTGCACGAAGGAGGCGATAGTCCGGTCCCATGTAGAATATTGGGATAACAGCGACATCGGTAAGGCAGAGCTTCGATTTACTATGATATGTCCTATTTCATTCTGACACTCTCCACCGGCAGACTCCCAGGTCCAGTGTTGAGGGTGGGGCTTCTGAAATTACGAGTTACCAAGAGTGGTCTTGATCGTTGATAAACTTAGAGAGCCACTCAACCTGCTCACTCCATTCTAATCCGTGGGTCCCAATGTGATGTTCTTCAGACGTTCTTCTTGGTCCAATCTTGGCATTGAAATCTCCAATGATGACCTTGA